AGCGCTGGAGCCTCCAGATCTCCTTCGCTCCGTTCCGTCTGCTTCCGCGGCGGCGCGCTGCCTCAAACTGCCCAGTTTTTGTCATAATCCGTAGTTTGATGGCGAATATAATCGCAGGCGTTTCGTTGGGAAGCGGTTGGTCAATATGCGAAGCGGATGCAACTGTAATAGTAAAAACTTCTTTGTCCTTTGGAAGGAAGGAGGGGGTACAGGTCAAATAGAGAAGGGGCGGCTGGGAGTTTGAATTTGGTGCCTAAGAAAGCACCTTTCTCCCTTTAAAGTATAAGCCTCACTACGGACGCGCTTTGGACATCTTAGGTGGGATTGAAAAATAGTTCCCGTAATGAAAAATTAGTAGGGGGTTAAAATTCAAGCACTGGTGTTGTTCTAGAGGGAACGGGATGCTGTACTGCCCCCATTTCCCTTTTCCAGGTGTAAGGACTTTTGCTGCTGGGAAGCTGAGCTTTCATGCCAGCTCTCGTGTTGCATGCTAAACAGAGGTGTTTTAACTAAGGGGAGGTTTTTAATTTATTGAAAAAGTACATAAGATGTAGTAATTTCTTGACCAAACTGCGTTAAAGTGATAGAAATATTTTCTGTGGTTTGGACTTAAGATATGTTTAGATCTTGCTTTTTCGTAGACTAACTTTGGCAGGTCAGCTATTTCCTCTGGTTGGAGTCAGTCCTTTGAAATGAAATTACTTGCATTCTCTTTTCCTTGTGTGGGTGTGATCAAGATAAGTATCCTTAAAAAAAGATAATAAGCCGATATCCTAATATGTGGCCCCTAGTCATCACCCAAGACAGGAAAGCAAGGCTATTACAGTTAGGTTACGATGTGTTTGGAAAGCTATGCAGATCTTGGGGTAGGAAATGGTTGCTTTTATATGCCCTTGGTGTGCATATAGCTTCACCTATCCAGAAAAACAAAAATCTGTAAGATTTCAGGGCGTCTTTAAGATGAATAAACCTTGTGGATGACATTTAGAAAACTCTGCAGCTGAATCATGGTCTGGTCTGGTCACTGCCTCTCTTTGATTCTGGAAGGATTAGAGAGTAGTTTGAGGCCTTCCCTTGCTTCTTTATTTTGAATTGTAGCAAGAGAATTTTAATTTCTCGTTGGTTTGAGATGAATGCAAATGTGGCGTGTGAAGTCTCACTTTCGTTTCTCCTGCTCTGCTGTGCCCAGCAAGTACTCCTGTGGTGCAGCTGCGATGGTTGAGGGTTTCAAACCCTACTTCTAAAAGGGCCTGTTAGTGCCAGCTCACCTGTATCTTGATTTCTTGCCTTGTGAATCCTCGGTGTGCTGATCACCTGTCTTGACTGGTGCTCCCATGCCGTTAAGAAGCTTTCACTTAACTGTTGAATCGCTGGGAAATCCAGCTAATGTCATAGAGGAAAAAATGTTGGAGTGATGTTGGTGATTATCTGATCTGAGACAACAATCACTGCGTGGACTTGGAATTTTAAAATAAATTGTATCTGTAGGAGATACTGCCTGTGGGTTTTGTTGGCAAAACCAGAATGCTGCCTTTCCCCCCCACCCCCCCGTGTCTCAGTAAAATATAAACTGTCAAAATTAAATAGGTTGTGAGAAGGCTTTTGGGAAACTTTTTTCTTTTGAAACAGATTTATTCTTCATGGCCTTATCTGAAACTTGTAGGAGGAAACTTGGTTTTGAAAGAAGTTCTTGCAGATTCTGTATGCAGAGTGTGGCTCAGGACTGCAGTAAAATACTCTGCAGCAGTAGTTGTTTCTCCAGTACCTGTTTTCGAGTAGATTAGTATCATTTTGGTGGTAAGCCAGAGCTGAAAAGTTACCAACTTTGGGAGGATTTTGCATTACAGTACTTTCTTGCTGACTTCAAATAATTTGCATGCTGCTCTTTCCTTTGGAAATGAATAATGTGTGACTGGAGAACACAGGGTACCTGGCTGTTACAGCAGGCTTTCTTTAATGAGCATTTAAAAAATTGGAGGGGGAGGAATTTACATTAAATACTTGACCTTTTATTCAGATTTACTTTCTGAATAGACTCCTTTTTTCCCCCTGAACAAATAAGGTTCTTGGTTTATTTAGATTTTTTTTTTCCCCTTACAAGGTAACTACCAATAATTGATGAGTTTGCATGCAAAACATTGGCTTTTAGCTTGTTAGTAGAGCTTTGAGATTGGAACAAGGTGTCAAGGAGAATTGAGATATGCCAAATGGCTGCTTAGTTCCTTCTGTGACTGCAGGTCCAAACTGGAGGCATTGTCACCTGCCTGATGGTTAGTGTTGTCTAAGGAGTGACCACAGTCCAGTAACTTTATTGATCTGCTTTTGTTTATTCATCTGTAAATCAGGGATAATGAATTGTTTGCCATGTCATTTTACGTGGGATAGCTATTATAATTTCCAAAATAATGGAAATGACACTGTATAACTTCTTCAGTGGCTGAATCGCTGTAACTGCATGATGTTTAGAATGAAGCTTAAAACAGGGTGGTTCTTTCACAACTCCTGTTAGCCCTTATGATAGTTTTTTGGCAGAGGGGTTCAAAGAGCTTTTGTCTGATACTTGAGAATTGGAGAGGAAGGAATCTACTTTTGTGAAATGGTGTGCTGCTTTTTAACTGTGTAATCTTGTTGTAAGGTTTAAAATCTATTATTAAACAATTCAGTACCACTATTAGATTATTTAATAGAGTATACAATAGATTATTTAATAATCTATTGTTAAACAATATAATACCCCAAACCAAGACACATCCCCCCTCCTTGCAGAGGAAACAAATAGAAGTACTTTAGATTTTAGGTAAAGTTTTATTTCCTTTAGAAAAAGTTCTAGAATTCCCTGAGGATTTACAATACTGTAGGACCTAAGAAAAGTAAAGACTAAAGGTAGTGTAATTTGTAGATGCTCGCTTGGATAGGCGAGAATTACGTGTATTTTTGGTGCTAAAAGCATTTTCTGTGCATTAAATTGCCAATTTCTAACCAAATCTGTGTGTTAAGTCTCTAGAAGAATTATTTTGGAGCAACCTTTGGTAATTCCGATGGAATTAAGGAAGTAAGTACTTGTCCAACTCGTTTTAAAGATGTCTGATAATACTCTGACAAGTACTACTGCTGTCAGCCAGTTATCATCCACAAAGGTACGTTCTAGGTCTGCCTCACATTTGGGGTAGAGCTCCAGTCACCAGAACTGTTTTGTGAGTGGCAGCATATTACTCCTAAAATGTTGCTTTAATAGCACTCAGACCATGATGAGCTCTAAAAATGTATAATTATTTAATTAAAGGGTACTAAAGTTGTGTTTTCAGTGAGCTGTAATTTTTCCACGAGGTGTTGTGTTTATGCCAGTAAATGAAGCAAAATAAAGTATATTACTGCTTAAACTATTGATTTTCTACTTCCTCTTAAAGGGGTAGGTGGGCATGGTGAGTAAGCACTATCAGGAGGGATGGGTTGTTTCTTAGTAGCTCTTATGAGATCCTAATAATCTGCACCTTCTCAAGTTGGATCTTTCAAAACTGAGTTCTAGAAGGCAGGTGAGAGGGAGGCAAACTTTGTGTGAGTCCTTCCAGTGCATGCAGCAGCTAATAAGCAACTGCTGATCATTCAGGAGGAGAATTCCATCCTTTTATGTAACACTGAAATCCAAAGGTATGGTCTATACTTGCTTACAAAGGAAGATGGGACAGCAGTGACTTCCCACCCTCTCCCTTCCTCTGAAGTATGTTAATTTGTGTGACTTGTTTTATCTTTGCCATGGAAACAAAAATGCAGATTGTAGTAAAACTGTGGTATCATAGTGAAGTAAGGCGTCTATCTTGGCGTTGCCCAAATTAGTGAATCACTCAAAGCAGTAGACTGCATCTGCATTTGAGGTTTTCCAACGACTCTCTTCTATTGGTCTGAGCAGGCAGATGAAAGTGGCAAAAACTGATGTAATAATACAGTGTGTGCCTTACCACTTTGCTAATGTTGAATGGCAAGGGCATTTTGTTCTTTTTTTATATTAGGTGTTCAAAAAGGCTGACCAGAACTGAAGATAGAGTCTAGTAAGAAGCTTACTACTTTTAGTATGCTTGTTGAGCTTGTGGAAAAAGAAATGGTTTAGAAAGCCCCACCCAAACACCTCTCCCCCCCTCCCCAGCTGTATGGGTAGTACATTGGATTAAGATGTTGTTATGACTTCTAGCAAAAGATGACCGTTGATTTCTGAATAATTTTATTTAAACAGCATTCACTGTACTAACTCTATGAAATAATGATGAGGCGTGAACTGAACGGCATAGTGATTATATGACGCTGCAAATAGCAGCAAAAATTTAATGCTGTGCTGAACTGTGATCAGATTTGTTGATGGTGAATAATTGTGCTGTGAATGGAAAAATAATTGGATGTTTTCATTGCCTAAGTTTTGAGGCAGGGAACTTTTCTGTGCGGCTCTGTAGGGTGTGAAATGGCAGTCAGATAGGTCTGATAAAAGTCTGTGAGATACCAGTAAGTAGAATTTCGTGTGTGTGGCTCTAAAATGAATACCTGCCTACAGTATCTTTCACTGGGAGTATGAGTAGTACAGAACAAGATGTGTGTGTGGATATGAAGGTGACTGAAAATTTTTCTGAACATTGCTTTTTGTCTTTTAGTTCTCAGAATTAAGTCACCAAGATCAGAAGATAAAAACTTAATTATAGCATTGGCTGTGAAAGCTGCCTTTCACACCAGGTGGAGATTTCTGCTGCTTTCCCTGTCATACCAGACGCTCTTACAGCTTTTGAGGAAAGAAGGTCCAGAATACTCTTGGTGCTGGTGCCAGTGTCCTCATATTTCACTGCCAAGCTTATTCTTCAGTATGGTCAAGCATTGTCTCAGATTTATAGTGTGTAGCATCTTGTCAGGGCTCAGTTTATATTAGTGTATATGACTACAGTTATCTGATATTTAAAAGACTAACTATGAAGTTATTAGAATTTCTGAAACAGTTGCACAATCAAGGTGTTTTGCTTTATTGGTCTGACTCCATATGAAGCTTGTGGATTTTGCTGTTGTTGTTCATCTACAGAAAAAAAAAAGTAGCAGATGTAACAGTGGACAGATTTCAGGAAACTAGTGTAAGGTTTTGAATTCAATACAGGAACTTCAAAACAGAAATTATGACTTGCAGTCTGTAACTGGTACCTACAATTCATTCTTAAAAAAAGTAAAACTTGACTACTTGATACTTCCCCCCCCTCCTTGGCAGAATATCAGCTCGTACTTTGGAGGTAGTGAACTGCCATCAAAGCTTTCCTGTGCTTTGAGCATTGTTATCATATTGAGTTTTCCTCAAAACTGATCTGAAATATTAGCATATGATTTGTAAGCCAGCAGAAGCAAGGATTTATGTAACTCACTTAATTGTTAGCTACAGGTTAGTTGGCATCTAAAGGGAAATTTAACTCGTGTCCATTTGTGATGAAACTGGAGTTTCTGCCACGTTAATTATCAAGTGTAGACAAGTCCTTGCATGTTAGGAGTAAATTTAATTTACAGCATGTATAAATAAAAAAAATGTTGACCCAAAACTTAGTCAGTTAAAAAAAAATTAAAATCGAAGTGCTGTACAGCTACTCTAAAGTTGCAGCCATTTTCACGTCTCTTGCTTAATCTTTGTTTAGTAATAGAAAAGATACAAGTTGGAGAAATAAACTGTACTAGGGGTAGGAAAACTGGCTTTCTAGCACAGAGTCATATCCAGAGTAAACTTAGAATGTCTTCTTTCACTTCTTTTATGTATCTATTCTAGAAATTAAAATTGTCATCGTGGACCACTTCTGCTCACTGATGAGAAATATTAAGTTAGCTTCCCTTACTTTGATATAATGAAAAGTAGATGCTGATTAGGGTATGGGGAGCTTTTGCTTTTCCTGTCCTGAGGTTTGTGTTGCTTCAGCTGAGGCTCCCATTTGTAACCCAGCTGCAATACGTAAGTGCTCAGACAGGGCTGGTTGTGGCTGCGTTTGCTTGGGTGTTTAATTGTTAGAAGGAATAGGTATTTGATGTTTTCATCTGTGACACTTAGCCCATATGTTCCAAGGATTAAAAAGCGCATGAGTGCACTTTATGGTGCTGGCCTGCTGAAAATAGTCCTGTGGTGACTAAAAACTGGCATTTGCTTTTACAGCTGAATTCAGCAGTTTGTGTAGTCCTCTTCCCCTTTATTACTTTAGTATCATTTTCTGTAGTTATATATGTTTATATTCAAGGACAGTAGGATGTTTCCCAAAGCAGACTATGCGTTCCATCTAATAATGTGTTCTTATTGCTTGTGTTTGTCTTATCCAGAATGATTCCTCACAGTGTTTTAATTTTATGTAGAGATGCTTTTTTATTTTGTCATCTCATAGGAACCTCCAGAAGTTAAGTCTCTTTGGAGACATAAACATTCTGCAGCAACATGGAAGTATATCAAATACATACCTTGGCAAGGTGGACCCTGATGGCAAGAAGATTAAGCAGTAAGTTATTTTTGTAAATTCTTAAATATGCTAATAAAAACAGCTAACGGAACATAGATTTTTGTGTCTGAAATACATGACTGAGAAAGCTTGAAGTTTTTAGTAGGATGAGAATCTAAATCCTTAAATTGATTTAATTT